AGGACAAGAAATTACTTGATCGGATGTAAATTTCACAAAGATATTTCACGCTACTATAGAAATTTGAAGTCTGAATAGCATATGAAAATCATTTTAATTGCCTTTTAACATGCGATATTGATGGGAAAGCTAAACACCCAAATGACGTTTTTCTTATAACAGGAAGTTGTCGTTTTCATTTCCTGTGGGATCAACATTTTTTTGAAAATACAAGAGAGATGCAATAAATGGATGCAAGTCATATTTTTTTTTAAAAAATGAAAATTTCGATTTCTTTGGCCACCTTCGATGACCATCGGAAATGACGGCTGGCGTGTTGAAACCTATTCGGCAAACTCCTTTGTCATGATCTATTATTCCGGAATGTTTGATGTCATAATCTTCAACCGTTTGAAGAAAAAGAAAAAAAAACGGTAATCGGATACAAGGCAGCAATGTTAAGGTATACTATGAAGAAATCAACGGAATATAGAGGTGGACAAATAGATACCTTTTTGAAACTGACTTTGTGTTTTTATAGCTATTTATTTATCACATGACTGTAATATTAATTGAAATAGCATAGTAAACCCACTCTGTATTGATCTAGCTTGGTCATCTTATTATACAGTCACGTGATAAATGCATATAATGTGCACTACATAAATGTCAAAAATAAATTTCAATATCGCAAGGGTAACCTCATTCAAAGTAAAATTTTAATCCATAAATTGTTTTTATGCATTTTGATTTTTCTTTGAAGTGCTGCTGCTTTCGATGTAATTCGTATTTTTTGTTTAAATTTGAAGTTATGGGACTACACCTGAAAAATGCTTGACTTTTACCTTGTATTTTATGTGTTTTTTAATTATGCTCTTTCGTGGATACCGGTCCTTCGGATGAGTATAGGTCAAAGTTTGCAGCTCTCCACCGGCAAGTGGTGGCGTCTCCATATGAGTGAAAAATTCTCAAGAGGAACGTTAAACAACAACCAAACAAATAAAATTAACGCTCTTGATTTCACGAGAGCAGCAGTATTTTTTCAGTTCGGGAAAACTTCTATCTATATTTAAAATATAGTTAAGATTTATGAAGAGTATGCCCTTGCGCTAGGGCGATTTATCGAGGGACCTCGATGTTAAACGTGTCATTCCGTTACACAAAATACGAGATAATAAATTTAATACACTTTCTCGATTAAAAAAAAAAAATAATAATAATTATGGCATTTAAGCAATGCTACACAAAAGAAGTAATGTTCTATTAAACGTCTGTAAATAGCATTCTGTTTAATATCAAAAGGCATTTCTCACTGTGGAAAAATCATTTAATCCGCCACTAACTGCACTTTAAATCAGTCCAATTTTACCATGATGACGTCATGTCGACATGTTGATTGCGATCAGAGACTTGTTTAAATCTTGCAGTGAGGGTATTAGCTAGCGACGATAATAAATTCAGTGGTAAGTTTTAATGAAGTTAAATACAGTATAATTATTATACAATTTAAACTCGCAAATCATTTCATTTTATGATATTATGAAATATTGATATTTTTGTGTGATATCAGATAAGCATATCCCGTACAAATTATGCTACGCCTCCTTTATGTAGCCTTAACGGTACTGCGAACTGAAGAACGGAAGCGAAAAAAAAAATCTCGGAATATTTTCAATCTCTATCATCTCTGAAAATTTCAAAAAAAAATTATCCAGACGTCCCTGAGAAATCGTGTTCGAGAAGGAAAAAAAAAAGGGTGAAAATAGTAGGAACTGGATGAGATCTCGTTGCGAGGAACGAGTCGATTTTTGATTCATAAAATAGAATTTAGATTATTTTATTCGTTAATAGAGATTGATATAAAAAAAAAAAAAATCCCTCTTTAAGGTAGAGACGGATAGCAATCAGGTGATAGATAGAATTCGCATATTAGCACGTGCTGTTTTTCCGGATTCCGCAACGACGCCAAATAATAGTCCTCATTTACACATTACCCAGCAGGCATTTCAGCGTTGATTCAATGTTGAATCAACGTTGAACTTCAACGTTGAATCAACGTTGAATTTTGGTTGAATATGAAAGTTGAGGCAACGTTGAAACATTTTAAATCACGCGCATTGTTATATGTAAGTCCCACAAAATGACTCGTCTGCCGGAAAGAAATAAACAGGAAGCTCCATCCTCTAGTGCAAAACCTATTAAAAAAGAGATAATGATTGAAAGTCATTTATTTGATAACTTGTTATTAGTCCCCTACCAGTGAAACCGGAGGGGACTATAGGTTTCCTCTGAGTCTGTCCGTCCGTCTGTCTGTCTGTCTGTCTGTCCGTCTGTCTGTCTGTCTGTCCGTCTGCTTGTCCCTCTGTCTGTCTGTCACTCTGTCCCACTTGGTTTTCCGCAGTTTTTTCTAAACGCTTGCAGACATTGAGCTGATTTTTGGTATGTGGGTGTATCATGATGACTTACAGATCAAGTTTGCATTTCGTTCCGCTTCAATGATTTTTAACGGATTTACGACCTTTTCAATTTTTCAGGGTTTTCCGCAATTTTTTGCTAATCGCCTGCAAATATAGAGCTGATTTTTGGTATATGACTTTACCTTGATGAGTTATAGGTAAAGTTTGCATTTTGCTCCGCTTCATTGATTTTTAAAGGAATTATGGCATTTTCAATTTTTAATGGGAACCAGATTACACTTGCCGGTAGGAGACTAGTATTGCTAATGCAATACTCTCAGAATGCTTGTTTCAAATGATATAAATATATATATATATATATATATATATATATATATATATATATATATATATATATATATATATATATATATATATATATATATATATATATGACTTATGGCTTTAGGAGACCAAGGAGGATATATTTTCTGGCTTAGGGAGACCACTGGATTAAGGCGACCTTTTTCGGTCTCCCTATTATTTTGACCTCATCAGTATTGCAAATGTCTTTTTATAGATAAATAAACAGTCTGTCATTAAATATTATTAATCTTTAACTCTGTTATTTAACATTCAAAAGTTGTCTAATTTCTATCATCTTCCCTAAAAAAGAAAAGAATTTATAACCTACGTATAATTTCAAAGGATAATTTTTCTGCATTTTGGAGACCATGAAAAACATGCAATTAAACAAAAAATCTAGCATATATATTTTTTCCGCTTTTGATTTGTTCAAATGAGTGTTTCTTTAACTTAGTTTTCCATGTTTTATGTTAAAAACCTAAAAAGGAAAAATATTGTAAATTTATGAACCATGTTTTGAATTCTTAGCAAGTGCTTTCCGTCATTTGTTCCGAATGCCATCGGAATGCCCCTTCAGTTTTCAGAAGATGACCCCTGAACACCATGGATGTTGAGAAATTTGGGTAAGTAACTAAAATGATACAGTAATAAGTTGTAATTAAGAATACACAAGACAAACATTCGTTTGTTTTTTGTTTTTGTTTTTTTGCCTAGTAATTTAGCTTCCAAGAGAAAAAGTATGATTTTAAATAATCGTTAGACTATAGTTCGGTATATAAAATCCTGAAGGAAATTCGAAATAAAGTTAAATGATAGGCCCCTATATTTTTTAATTCTTTTATGCAAGTCCACAAACAAATTAAATATTTTAAAGATTGGGCCGAACGTTGAAAAAATAGTCTCGCAAGTTGACGCAGCTATTTCTAGCTTAAAAATTTAAATTAAACTTAATTTCTGTAAACATCATGCAGGACATGATCATCATGATATAGTATAGATGAAACAGACCCTGTAAGAAAAAAATAGCTGTAATTTAATAATTGTTTAATAATATAATGTGGTCCTCTGCTAATAGAATATATATGCTGACTGTAAAAAAAATCTGAATCAGGGTGAAGCAGATTTGATACAATACATGGCTGAAGGAACGGGGGGGGGGCAGGCCCCCTGTAATTTTGCTGAAATTTAGGTATACTATAGAAAACATTGCTCCTTTATGCTCGGGCCCCCTCAATAATAACCTCTGATGATCTATTTTTCTTTTGCTTTTGGGCCCCCTCAATAATAACCTCTGATAATGTATTTTTCTTTTGCTTATTAAAATTTTTTTGGTTTGTAGCCTCCCCCAACCTGAAACTGAAAAATGTTGTTTGGTTGTGCTCACCCCCCCCTCCCCCCTCCAACTAAATTAAGTACGGGCCTATTCTCCATCCCTGAGGTTTTCTTTCACCAAAGAAAGATTAATTGGTAACAGTTCAGATATATATAGCAATATTTACGGAAGGGAATATTCTCGTTTAATTATGAAGATGTGACAGTAACTCAGTCAAAGCCACAGTGAGTGTAACATTTATTTAATATTATTGTTAATGTTTACAAATAGTGAAATACTGATACTGTGAAATTTTAATGGATATATAGAAAATATAAAAGTACAACCATTTATTGTAAATCACATACATGAAAAGCTTCTTTTTTTTCAAGCAATTGGAAATTCTTCATTTTTTCATGAAATTATTTTATTTCGTATGTATGATAATTTATTTCGTATTTTAATTCAGTCAACAAATCATTGCCGCAGCCTAGTTCCCTTCATTATTTTCAGCAGTTCAGTGACAGAGATAAAATGATCATTTGAGGTTTATAAACCCCCCCCCCCTCCCCGCCAAATGAAACTGAAAAATGTTGGTTTTGGTCCCCTCCAACTGAAATTGATTCCTTCTTACCATGCTTACAGGCTTAACTATGAAGATGTGACAGGGAGTGTAATAACAATAATTGTTCAGACGAACACATATTAAGCTGATATACGTATCAAATTTTAATGGATAGATAGAAATTAATAAACAATTACAACCATTTATTATAAACTACATAAAGATAATTTTTCAAGCAATTTGAAATTCTTCATTTTTTATGATAATATTTTATTTCGTATATATGTTTATAGGTTTATTCGTATCAACAAATCTGTGTACGAGTTAATAACGCAGCCTGGTTCCCTGCATTTTCAGTGACAGAGAACCAGAATAAGATTTCTAGGGAAACAAGCCTTGTTACAAGGTTTGAGGTTTGTTTATTTTATATTTTAATTTACACTTTTTAAAAATTATTATTATTATGCAAAAATCTGTGTGCAGATGAATATTTACATTTTAATGTTACAAGTCGTTTTGTGGTTCATATTTGCGGTGACTGTCCCACGTGTGTTTACCTGTTTACATTCACCTACTGACCTAGAGTCTTCAAAATATACCTTCTGTAATCATGACTGTTGTAATCTTGTTTTTATGTTAGTTTACCGTATGTAACTTGACTGTTGTATAGATTTATAGCGATCACTGCAAGCTTTAAATATATAGGTGAAGAGAAATTTCAGACTATCAATCACAGGCACTTGTTTCATATACGGTGCACCCCTACTTATTTTTACCACAAGGTATCTAACTCAATTTCAGGCACCCCCGCTTCAAGCTCGTATTTTGTTCATGTATCATTATCAATCATTAACCTACTTTAAAATGACATCGTTCGCTTCAAGAGACTTTTTTCTTGTCAAATAAATCGTTTCAGATGTCTCTGGTCGAGTCTCTTTATTGTAAAACACTCATTTATTCCACGAAAATTACCTCGATACATTTTAAGACTTTAGATGGGATACAACTTCCAGTTGGGGATAGAATAAAACCAGAGACTTCCGAGTATTCCATTCCGAGGTCTCTGGTTTTATCCTTCATTTATAACCCCAACCGCAAATTTGTATCGAAAATTACCTTGATACATTTTAAGACTTTAGATGGGATACAAATTTCATTTTTTTCACAGGTCACGAGGTTTCAACTTAAAAAATAAAAATTCTCACCGTTAAGATATGTTGGAAATTTTAGCTTGATGTGTTGATAATTTGCCAAATTATTATGTAATAAAGGGGACTTTATATGATCACCCGGCGCTGTCGCTTTAGTTCAGTCTTCACAACAATTCTTTTTCAGCACATGCCCTTCGGGCATGTAGACCTATCATTTTTACCCAGCCCATTCAAATTTGTACATGTCCTACTCAAAATTCTTACATTTACCAGTATTGTGCAACAAAAAAAACCCATTAGGTATAAAGGTTTTATATTAATTTTTTCAGCATCGTAAACCAACCATGGCCTGTGATTGCCATTTTCTAAAGCGTTTTTGTTCATAAATAACTTTTGAGTTGCATGCTGGTCATTTGTTGGCCGGTTTAGCTGAACTGAATTTCAGAAATGGGATCATGACTGTAGTGCCACAGTATGTGGCATTGATGAACATCTCGTAATTTAGCAAGCAACTTCGAGAAAACAAATAGGTTAAACTAAACACTTCAATGATTAGATTGACAATCATTTGACAGGTCGTATCGAGAATGTAGACAGGCAATCCATCGACATTACATATAGCAACGTTTAAGCGAATAATGGGGGAAGGACAGAATAAATGGCAAGTAAAGATCGTACAATGAAAGAAGATTCACATATGCCCTCTTCGGACATGTAATTTGGCAATTGTTACATGCCCGGCTGCAAATTTAACAGGTCCCTGGCATCGGGTTATTTGGAAGACTGTTTGTTTAGTTTCATGAGGTCCGACAACATTGATTCTCAATGTCTGCTCCCTCTACCCCATACACTTATCTTGATAAAATTATATATAAATTATATTATTAATTATATAAATTGATATAAATTATATAAACCGGTCTTGTTTATATAATTTTACAATGTCATAAACAGCTGCTTAAGTGCATATAATATTGTAAATGGATTTATATATAGGATTAGGGAAAGATCCTCACTTGATTATGGCAGCATATTTAGCTCGTAGGAGTTTATTATCTACCACACATGATCAATGTTACTTTTGGACGTGAATGACTTTTGACACCCTAACTTCAGTTCAAATCAACATTAACTTTATGTGACGTCTCTCTGAATCTTTTTTGGCATGTAACTTGGGTAAAAACAATTAAGTACTCTTGATGCATTTGATTTCTCTTAGCCCGTTTAAACATTTCCAAGGTCTATAACAGTTTTTGCAGGGGCGAAACTATGTAGAAGTTGGAAAAGAAACCCATCCCCTTTTTGACGTATTTGGTTTTCGAGGGGTGAAAATTTTCAATATTACACTCAACTACATGCAATATTTATTATATTATACTGAATGTTTTATACAAATAATAGTGAACCTTGAGTGCATAAATCTGCGCAGTCACTATTTTTTGGAATATCACCCGTCGTCAAGCAATGTTGACTGTTGCGACACTGGGCGTGGCTTCATTATTCAGCGGATAATAGTGCTTTTTAACAAATGTTTCTTGACAAATCAGATTAATTCATCTAATATACCTGAAAGTACAATATTAATTAATTGTCATCATTTTCCTATATTAGCATTTTTACTGGTAATGGTTTTGAAATGATAGGAACATGCACTGTTCAAAAAGTCTTAAAATGTTGTTTTGGCTCAATTTCTTTGTTAGATTACTGTGTTGAACTAAGGCAGGCCAGTTAAAGTAACATGATCCTATAGATTCCATGTACATTTAGTACTGTAAAGTAGACAAATTTATTGTTCTCACAAGTAGTTCTCAAACATTGATTTAAGTTGGTCTCCTGAAGGATGTAATAATGCAATTGGTCTGCTTAAGGTACAGTGTATAATATAGACATGCATATTTTATTTTGAATTTGTATTATGTCAATCATTAGAAATATATGGATCTTAATTAAAAAACATTGTTTTCATTAGAAACATTGTTTTCATTAGAATTTAAGATATGTATAATAGGCATATATTCTTCATGCTTTTCCATAGTTAAGTCCTTTTTTACAGGGTCTCTGCTAGAATCATGTGGACCCCAGTGTAACAAATCTATGGAAAGAGAGAAAATCTCAGCTCAAGGGTCAACATGTCTTTATTCCAAGAAAGGTAAATTGATAATTTTTTCTGCTAAAATACTCTTTTATAAATCATAATATCAATGCAAAAGAGTGAACAAACAATGTACCTAACAATATTTTGAAAATGAAAGTGCAATAACAGTTAATAATTATGATCAATCGTATGAATGTTAATAATCCAATCAAAGTCCTTGTTGTATATCATTTTTGCTAGGGCTGTGTATTGAGCAAAAAAAAAAAAAGAAAGAAAGAAAGACATTTTTTAATGCGATATGCAATATATTGAATTCTTTAACAATTCTGTCAAAAAAGTCTTATAAATCATTATGCATGAATTTTATAAAAATAATAATTGTTTTTTACTCATTTTTAATTTTTTGTCTCACCGTCTTTAAAAATTACACTTCAAATTCAAACTTTTCTTGACTGTAAAATCAACATGTTAAGTAAAGTTGTCTATGTATTTTTATGATTTTGTAATAATCATTTAAGATGTGCTACCTCCTTAATGATTATGTCATTTTTGATCAGTTTTAATTCAAAACAGTTACCGGTAAATATAATCTTTGGTGATTGAAATTCCCAAGTTTTTCACACAATTACATAAAAAAACTGCCTGCCCATAAGTTATTTTTAGCTCACCTGAGCCAAAGGCTCAAGTGAGCTTTTCTGATCAAAATTTGTCCGTTGTCTGTCGTTGTTGTCGTCTTTGTCATTGTTGTTGTTGTTGTAAACTTTTCACATTTTCATCTTCTTCTCAAGAACCACTGGGCCAATTTCAACCAAACTTGCCAAAAAGCATCCTTGGGTAAAGGGGATTCAAGTTTGTTCAAATGAAGGGCCACACCCTCTTTCAAGGGGAGATAATTAAGAATTAGTGAAAATTTAGTGGTATCTTTTAAAAATCTTCTTCTCAAGAACCACTGGGCTGTAAAAGTTGAAACTTAGGTGAGACCTTCATTACATAGTGTAGATTCAAATTTGTTCAAATCATGACCCCCTGGGGTAGGGTGGAGCCACAATGGGGGATCAAAGTTTTACATAGGAATATATAGGAATAAATCTTTAAAAATCTTCTCCTCAAGAACAACAAAGCTATGATTAGTCATATTGATATGGAATCATCCTCAGGTAGTGTAGATTCAAGTTTGTTCAAATCATGACCCCCAGGGGTAGGATGGGGCCACAAGGGGGGATCAAAGTTTTACATAGGAATATATAGAAAAAATCTTTAAAATCTTTTTCTCAAGAACAACAAAGCCACAATTAGGCATATTGATATGGAATTATCCTCAGATAGTGCAGATTCAAGTTTGTTCAAATCATGACCCCCAGGGGTCGGATGGGGCCACAATGGGGGATCAAAGTTTTACATAGAAATATGTAGGAGAAATCTTGAAATTGTTTTTCTTAAAAACAAGGCCACAATTAGTCATAATTTATATGGAAGCATCCTCAGGTAGTGTAGATTCAAGTTTGTACAAAATCACGACCCCCGGGCAGGGGGGGGGGCACAATGGGGGATCAATATTTTACATAGGAATTTATAGAAAAAAAATCTTTAAAAACCTTTCTCTCAAGAACAACAAAGCCACAATTAGTCATATTGATATGGAATCATTCTCAGGTAGTGTAGATTAAATTTTGTACAAATCATGACCCCCAGGGGTAGGGTGGGGCCACAATGGGTGGATCAAAATTTTACATAGAAATATGTAGAAAAAAATCTTGAAAAATCTTCTTCTCAAGAACAACAAAGTCACAATTAGTCATATTGATGTGGATTCATCCTCAGGTAGTGAAGATTCAAGTTTGTATCAAATCAGGACCCCTTGGGGTAGGGTGGGGCCACAAGGGGCGATCAAAGTTTTACATAGGAATATACAGAAAAAAAAAATGAAAAATCTTCTTCTCAAGAACAGCAAAGCCTTGTTAAGTCATATTGATATGGAAGCATTCTCAGATAGTGTAGATTTAACTTTGTTCAAATCATGACCCCCAGGGTTAGGGTGGTGCCACAATTGAGGATCAAAGTTTTACATAGGAATACATAGGAAAAAACTTCAAAAATCTTCTTCTCAGGAACAGCACAGCCATGTTTTGTCATATTGATATGGAAGCTTCCTCAGGTAGTGTAGATTCAAGTTTGTTCAAATCATGACCCCTGGGGGTAGGGTGGGGCCACAATGGGGGATCATAGTTTTCCATAGGAATATATAGGGGAAAAAACTTGAAAAATCTTCTTCTCAGGAACAGCAAAGCCATGTTTTGTCATATTGATATGGAAGCTTCCTCAGGTAGTGTAGATTCAAGTTTGTTCAAATCATGACCCCTGGGGGTAGGGTGGGGCCACAATGGGGGATCATAGTTTTCCATAGGAATATATAGGGGAAAAAACTTGAAAAATCTTCTTCTCAGGAATAGCAAAGCCATGTTTTGTCATATTGATATGGAAGCATCTTCAGGTAGTGTAGATTCAAGTTTGTTCAAATCATAAACCCCAGGGGTAGGGTGGGGCCACAATGTGGGATCAAATTTTTACATAGGAATATATAGGAAAAAATCTTTTCATCAACAGAAAAGCCATGTTTAGTCATATTGATATGGAAGCATCCTCAGGTAGTGTAGATTCAAGTTTGTTCAAATGATTGGGGGGGGGGGGGTAGGGAGGGTCCACAATGGGGGATCAAATTTTTAAAAAGGGAATATATAGGAAAAAAATCTTTAAAAATCTTCTGCTCAAGAACAGTAAAGCCATTTGTTATATTGATATGGAAGCATCCTCAGGTAGTTCAAAATCCAAGCCCCCTCCCCTTTAAACTTTTCAATACTGAAGTGATTTGTGCTTTTTCCTAGCCAATGTGCTCAGGTGAGCATTGTGGCCCATGGGCCTCTTGTTTTTGATACGATATATTCATTAATCTAGATATGTATCGATATACAGGTAAATTTCGGTATCTCGAACACCGGTATGTCGAATACCACGGATATCTCGAAGTGAATCAACGGTCTCGGCCGTTTTTATTATATTTATGATTTTAAAAAACCCCGGTATCTCGAACACGGAAATCTCGAATACCTCGCTTATCTCGAAGTAGATTTACGGTCCCAAGTGCTATAAACACATGCATTATCTCGAAGTCCAACAAATTCTCGCTCCGCTGAATTCACACCTTAGTGCACAATAATCCCATTATGCTAATTTTACGGTCTGTTGAACATTAGGTCTAGCACAGGCTTCATGGGACCATTGCTGATAATCACACCTTATTAGTCCCAAGCTGTTGTTTTTGGTAGTTAAATTTAATTACGCAGGCCAGGTGATTTGGAGGTGTTAATAAAATGCACTCTCAGAGATACTATGACACGATAATGAAACAGCAGCTTGGGGACGATTACTGTACTAGAAATTTAAATTATCGAAAATACACGCATATACACATCATTACATATCAAAGTAAACACTGAACACATCAAAGTGATATTGAACTCAAGAAATTAAACAATTAAAGACATTATTTTGAGTATAAAAGTCAGTACCAAAAATCAAATCTTCAGTAAATATCATGTCCGATAAGGCAATCTAACGAAGGACCCAGTAGCCAACCAGGGGATAGTTAGATTATCTGACCATGGTGTAAAAAGAAAACTTAAAGTTCATACAATCGAAACAAAGTTTGCTTTTGTTTATTCATATTGGCAATTTCAGTAAATTTTTGTAGAACGATAATTCCTGTTGTTACATTTAGGCATGTGGGTATATGTACATATCCTGTTAAAGTCTTTGTGTATCACATTATATCATGATATACTTCAGACAAATTAGTACACCCGTAGTTTTGAATACAATTCATACATTGATTTCATTTGCCACAATGGTCTCTTTAATATTGCAATAATGCATTTGGTCTTCCTAATGCATGTGTAATGCAGGTACTGTATATACTCTATGTCCAGCTTATAGGTGAGTCATAAAAAGATTAGTATTTTGAAACCAGGTTAAAACATCAGAGCATTGATTTGAAATTGTCAATTGATTCTGGCAAAAAGTTGTACTGATTTATAAGCGGGTCAATAGCAAATCCCTCCAAAATAACCTCAAAAAATACAACTGACTTATAGGTGGACCACCTTATAGGCAAGTATATATACGGTATAGTTTTTGTTGAATTTTGCTAACAGCAAAACACTATGAATAATGAATTTTGGGAAAAAAAGATTATTAAGTTTAATGATGCATGTATGTAGTATAGAAATATTGTTCATATGCCTGTACATGGTACAAATATGCATTTTACAGAGTGTACATATGCCAGAATCATATGGACCGCAGACTGGCCCTGGTGATTCCGTTAAGAAAAAAGAGGAAAAATCAGTGCTTGTGCTCATTGGTCATTGGACAAAGGTAAATAGATTTATTTCATGAAACTAAACATGTAAATTACTAGGATATTAAAATATCACAATTAAAATACATGTACTGATTTATATATATATGGATATCAGTTGGTCTCCTTGATGGAGTTAAGTGCATTTGTTATCCCTTTTAAGTGGATCATTTAAATATTATGCAGTTTATTTAGAAGCTCTTTATTATCTGCACTGTTCACTTTTACAGGGTGTATGCCAGAATTTTTTCAAGAACAGTCTGAATCTGACATGGAAAAAATTAAGAAAAACAGCCTTCCTGTTTATAAATCTACATTCTGACAAAGGGTAATTTTGTTTAGTTCAATTAGAAGTGCACATTTAAGTTCAATTGCTTTCCTTAATGATATATTATAGCATTTTTATTCCCTTATGAACAATATGTATACTTGTAAAGCATGTATCACAAAATCTTCTGCAAACAAAGTTTTGGGTGTATAGTGTTTGTTGTTTAACGTCCCTCTTGAGAATTTTCACTCATATGGAGACGCCAACACTTGTCGGTGGAGAGCTGCAAATTTTTGTCCTATACTCAGCACTTATGGCCATTGAGCATTGAGGGATCTTTATTGAGCCAGCACCTACTGTGACATGGGACCTCGGTTAATACCTCTGTCTCATCTGAAGAACGGGTCTCCATGTCCCACAGTGGGATTCAAACTCGCGATGTAAGAATCAGCTTCTTTCTCCGCGACTCTAGAGTAGATGCTCTAACCACTGCATCTGCTCTACTTTGGCAACTTTGGGTGTATATAAGCATAGGAATCATCATGTCCATCTGTCTGTTCATGTGTTTGGCCACTTTTATGATTAGTTTTTTTGTTCCAATTCTGGCTGAGATAAATTGATTTAAGTCATCTAAATACAAACAAATTAAGGGAAAATACCATGGTATTGGAATGAACATTTTGGAATACTGTCTAATTGTTCCATTGTAGTTGGTTTCTTTAATGTTGAAATAATGCATCTGGTCTTCCTAATGCATGGCATACACTGTATGCATGTGTAATGTTAAAGTTGGCTGAATGTAAAACAGTTCTTGCATTATGACAAAGGTAAATAGATTTAGTTCATGTAACTAAACATGTAAATTATTAGGGTATTAAAATCTCAAGTTTTGAATACTGATTTACATGTGGATCAAGAGTAGTTGGTCTCCTTAATGCAGTAATAATACATTTGGTCTCCCTTATGCATACTATATACTGTGGTTTCATTAATATTCGTGGGCATCAATTTTCGTGGATTTAGTAAAAATAACTATTTCGAGGATACATAAATTCGTGGATAATGATCATACAACAACAAAAAATGTCACTTTTTCTTTTTTGTTTACTCTCCGTATGCTTCAGCGGGAATCCTCACGTCATATGCAATGTTAAGAGTTCGTTAATATTTTAAAACAATTACTAACACTTGAAAACTTTTTAATATTCTTTATATTTTGCTCATCTGTATTTTTAATAGTCGGAACCTTCAAGCGTTTACATGGTATAACAATAAAGGGAGAGAAATTCCAAATACCTTCTCCACTGTAAGACTATGATCTCGATTGGACAATTATATCGGATATTGAAACAGATTATTAGAAACAATTAACTAAAATACTATAGACTTTAATTTAATCATCGTTTCGGTTATATGGTTTTTAAGACAATTTGAATTTCACATTGTATCTTTTAAGCGCACATATATACCGACGATAATTAAGTGTGGCTAAAAAGTAACAAAAATTATTAAGTACTTAAATTTATAAATTTACAAAATAGTGTTAAAGACTTATTTTCACATGCACAGCGTGTTGTTTCTGTACTTGACAGTGATATCAAGACCCCTTAGGCTTTGTGTTTAACAAAAAAATTGTTTCAAAGTCAAATTAGCATTTAATTGTGTTAATAATTTGTATGATTTAATCCAGTTATGAACAGGGAATAATTAATTATTTCTACCGGACTTTTTATTTAACGATAATTTGTGTTTTTATTGTGCAGGTGATAACTGGTGTTGGACCGTTAGATGTTTGAGAATAACGAATTTACAAATTTACACCTGATTTTCTATCATCCTTTGTGCTATACTACTGATTGGGATATGCACCGCTTTGACAGTTCTACGTTTTGTTTGATTATTTCCGTACAGAATATTTAAACATATTGACTAAAAATTGCCATATAATTATATAAAAGTATTTCTTCTTTATTAAATATTCTTTAAAATGATAAAATACATTTATAAAGCCAACCTGTTGGGAAAAGGGGGACAGGTATTCGCATATATTAATAGAAGTCGTTATAAGCTTTTTAAAGGTTTATCATAAATCAAAATGGAGGCACCAAACTTCGATGAACATTTGATTTCGTGGATTGACTCAACAACGAAATCCACGGAAATTGGTGTTCCACGAATAATGATGAAACCACAGTATTATATAAATTTAATGACTGACATGTACGAGGGTTGATCCAAAAGTTCATGGAATTTCTTCATATTTTATTTATTTATTAGTGAAAGTGGTTGAATACTGATTTACATGTGGATAGTAGTTGGTCTCCTTAATGCAGTAATAATACATTTGGTCTCCCTTATGCATACTGTATATTATATAAATTTAATGACTGACATGTACGAGGGTTGATCCAAAAGTTCGTGGAATTTCTTCTAGTGTTGTACCGATAATCAGAAAACATCGATTGTCGACAAAAAAATGCTACCGATTCCGATGATCGATTATAGTTTTTCATAATCGATCATCGGAAACATACTTCTAATACAATACATTCCGGAATTATCCATTTCTGGTTTAAAATTTATTTCTTCTTAACGAAAGAAAATGGCATCTGCATCTGATACTAGCCAACTAGCACGAAGCAGAGGTGATTAAGAACCGAAGATGCATATATAGGGCCTAAAAAAAATTATTTTTGTTTCCTGTAATAACCCGACCGACCCATTCAATTTACCCCCGGGTGAATTTTTTTTCTGCCAAATCTGTGTTTGCTCTTTGGTTTGATTAATCAGCTGATTCTTTTTATTCAAAAAATATTAATTGTGTCTTTTATTTGAGATATAAAATATGCAACTTAGCAACTCTTAAATATAGAGTGATCAATTCCCACCACGACTTTTTGAAGCCGTTTTCTGCCGCTAGGCAGCCATGTTGGGTGTCCACTGTAAATATTTTTAGGTCTAGAAAGTGTAAAAGAAGCAAAACAACAAAGAAAATAATATATTATGTATTTTATATATTCATGTTCAAGAAATAAATAAAATTATTGTAATAGTCTGCTTTTTGTATACAAAACTATGAGGAAATCCAATTATAATCGGTGAAATCTCATCAGAAGCAGTAACCGATTCCAACCGATGATTGATTATGAAAATTAACTGATGTCTCATCACTAATTTCTTCATATTTTTTTTTATTTATTAGTGAAAGCGGTTGAATACTGATTTACATGTGGAGAGTAGTTGGTCTCCTTAATGCAGTAATAATACATTTGGTCTCCCTTATGCACACTGTATATTATATAAATTTAATGACTGACATGTACGAGGGTTGATTCAAATGCTCATGGAATTTCTTCGTATTTTATTTTTTTATTAGTGAAAGTGGTTGAATACTGATTTACATATGGATAGTGGTTGGTCTCCTTAATGCAGTAATAATACATTTGGTCTCCCTTATGCATACTGTATATTATATAAATTTAATGACTGACATGTACTAGGATTGATCCGAAAGTTCATGGAATTTCTTCTTATTTTATTTATTTATTTGTGAAAGTGGTTGAAAATTACAAATAAGAATATAGACACTTGTTGAATTTTTTTGATAAAAAAATATTTTAAATATTAATGATAGTAACTCTATGGCAGTTAACATAGCAAAGGATGTTTTAAAATGCAGGGGAGACATTTACTTGTTCATTATCATTTTAATTCTTAATACGTGATATAAGAAAAAACCTGCGCCAAGTGGCAAATAAAATGAGAATTTTGTCATAATTATGATTGCTTGACCACTAATATACCTGTATGTGAGAGTTTTACTGATTTAACTTGATATTTAGATTATTAGTTGATGATTTCTTGTTCATCTTTTAATTGTTAGAGAACGTCACATTTCAGTCAAGTTATAAGTTTTGTTAAAATCTTAGGAACACTCTGACTTAAAGGGGTATACTACTGATACAGGCTGGAGAAAAATGCATTTAGCAACTGATTTTCCAGTGGCGTGAGAAATTTAAGAACAATAGAACTTCCATGGTGTGGCTGCTTTTGGAGGGTCTGTTTTTCTCGTAGACAAATTAAGCGTTGATGGATGTTGACCGCTGACGTACTGTGCTTGACTTTGCTACTGAATTGGAACATCATATGGAAAGATGGGGAGTATTTTTGAAATATGAATGTAATATAAAGATAAGTCGATTGGTGGATACCCAGGCTTTTCTTGAGAGAAAAAAGGAGAAAAAGGCAGAATATTCTGTAGAATTACTTAGTTGAATTGAACATGAGGGTGAGATGCTCCTATAACATGACATGACCTACTTAACTTGACGTTACGTCGAAGTCTCCCCCGGATTTTACAACTATCAGTGTTCAGAAAGCTCATGTGACCTTATTGGTAATTGGAACGTAGTGAAATTTTCCAGTATTGTTGCATAATGACTCTATATTATAAATATGCCTATTGTTTGCTTTCATCAAATCACAATAAAATTTTAGAAATAATTAAATTCCATGAACTTTTGGATCAACCCTCGTGTTAGAAAAAAGATGGATCTAAGATTGAACAGGTTATAATTCACCTGAGTCATTTAAATTACTTATTGCTATCTGTTCTTGTTCAGTCATCATGTGTCAAGTATTGTCTGTAAACTATTGAACATTTTCAGTTTCTTTTCTGGAACCAGTTTCAACTAATTTCTCGGTTGAAGTACTGTATAGGGGATTAATTTCAGGGGTTGTAATTTTCATGTTTTTCTCTCCTCTGACACGATCGCGGTTTGTTGAATTCGCGGAATTGGTATATAACTAAGGTTACATGTACCTCCCTTCAATGTCTATATCCATTTACCGTAAGTTTTGGGGTATATGTCGATGGGATATATAGGTCGAAAGGCTCATTTTCAGCCGTAATTTTTAAAAAATCCTTAGATAGGACGAACTCAGAAGATAAGACGAGGCTTTGTATATCGATTTTCTAGAGATTCTTACGTAGATACTACGTATCAAAACATGTAAGCCTCTTTAACTTAACCCGTGATATTAACGTATTGATAAAATAAACTGGTATTTTTATGAGTACAGCATTTTAATAGTGTTTTATACAAACATACCTAAAACTTCATTGAATTGTAATGTAACGTATTTTCTCCAACTTGCCTGTTAAATGCCGTCGTAGTTTCACTCTGTCGTTAAACACATAAATACGGTAGTATACAACAGCTATAATTAGGGAAATACCCGAAATCAAACAATAATTATTTCCATTTTAGAACATCGTGAACACATTCTTTTATTCCGACATTATTTACCGGGGTACAATATTAACTTCGAAGACCGCCATTTTTATATTTCTTGTCCAGGGATTTGCTAAAACACGCAATTGACTATTACATATAACTGTGAGCAATTGAAATTAATCATATTATCATGCTTTAATTTTGCTTGAGATGTTGTTGTAAAAAATAAATTTAATTGAGAGTACATTCGCAATTTAACAGTCATCATGAATTTCACTGTTTTGTTTGTTCGATGTTGTATTAATACCCCTGTAACGGCACGTGGATCTGTTAATCATGCCCTTCGGGTGTTTAAACCAACACAGGTGTTAACACCTTTGTGTACACAGTGTATTTATATCAACACCAAACATGCATTTAAGGAAGAAAATATATTAAGTAAAATGCAAAAGCCTGTATTAAAAAATCAAAGGACAAGTGCACTTAAGCAATGCTTAATGGGTCCTTTTTCAGTGCCATATTACTTTAGAATGTATTACCAAATTGTTCTCTTTTGGTAATAGTTAAACACAAGTGGACATTTCTAATTAAAATCACATTAAAACATCACCTAAATCAGCATGGATTTGAAACAAATGAAGTTTTTTAAATGTCTATAGATACCCCAAATCCGGAAAAGTCGTACCGAACCTATTTTGAGTTTCGTTTATTTAAATCAAGGGGAGGAGACATTTAAATCAGACACTTGAACAATCTGATGGTGGATCATTGACAGGCGCGTATGCCGAATGATACTTCTTGTGCTATTTTACCCGAGAAAAAAATCGAATGAAGTTGTATAGATACCTGTATCCATAGTGATCAAACTAAGAAATTTGCATGCTTGCATTTGAAATAATACAATAAGTATTAACATTAGTTCCTTTAAATTTTAAAATGAAAAAAAGTGTATTTAGGTGGCTTTCAATACCAGTACCATTGTCTTGCATGAATGTTAAAATGGTTGACACTTTTATTTATGATGACATTTTAACGACACTAAACTCTCCTAACCATTCCGTGTTCCTAAAACCAAATACATACAAACTTCTCTATGCGGCTTGACTTCGATATAATGATACAAAACGTGGTTATGTTTTACAGTGAGCATCTTTGAGGAATGTTTACTGGGGTAGAACTCAAGTGACTACCAGTATTTTAAATAATTTATTCCACGGGTGGGTTCAACATAGGTCATACAGGTAAATAGCTCTTGCTTGTTATAGGAAAAACATTGAACTTTTCATACATTTTTAATATTTTAAGTACAAGCCTAATCATGTACAAATTTCCTACTTTCACACAAGTTTTATAAATGTATAATGCATTTTTTGTCAATCGCACAAGTTTGTACAGTGTTAGGCTGACAATAAACAAAAGCTTTGAAATGAATGACCGTCCTCGATTTACTATAGAAAATCACGAATGTCGGCTGACCCCTACCACATTGTATGGCTTTGCTCTTTGTATATTCAAAATTTGTTGAATCTTATGGTTTAGATATCAATTAATGATCTGAGATGGAAAATTATGCTTAATTTAATTTACCGGGGCCCATAAGTGCACTCGTTCTTTAGTGTTTATACAGGTAAAAAGTTTGAAAAAATAAAAATGTGCCAACAAATGGTTTCGAACCAGGACACTAAAAATGTTCATGGTGAGAGTCTGCGGTCTATTGTTCTGGGCTATGCTGACTATGAGGACATTTGTAATAAATATAAACCAGTATGATAGAAATAGGTTTTCACGTTTTTTGTAGGTTTTTTTCTATGAATTTCGACCGTAGGCACCTCTAAAAGAACCTTGTTTTAAATAATCATAATTTAGGGGCAGGCAAAGGGTGATTATATTGCATCTATCGGGTATAATTTTCTTATCAGAAAATTGTAGAGATATGCAAGGTTAATTAATGACAACATTTATTTTTCCTTTTTGCCTAATACTTTTATGATTTTCACTAATAAATTGATTATTGAAAAAAAGCCTTTAATATGACTGCTGATTTTATCTCCATCTGTTAATTTTCAACACCTTTTCTCATGATTATAGTAGATAGAGAACAGATTATGATTTCTAACATTTACTTTTACAGATCATTTTCTTGAGATAGGTGGAACCAACAGTCAAATACAGACACTTCTAAGAAAAGTAAAAATCTGGCTCAGGTAAAAAAAAAAAAAAATATTTACAGTTTTAACAATTAGTAATTTTACCTTAATTAACTGGAAAAATCTTATTTGACGAAATACAGGTCAAGAATGAAGAATTTAAAGCCTAGTAGGGATTTTGGTCAATCATTACAGGTAATCTGCAGTCCCTCTTGAGAATTTTACACTCATATGGAGACGCCACCACTTGCCAGTGGAAAGCTGCAAATTCTGTCCTATACTCTGCACTCATGGTCATTGAGCAGTGAGGGGTCTTTTTCATGCCAGCACCTACTGTGACATGGGACCTTGGTTTATAAGGTCTCATCCGAAGGACTGGTCTCCATGTCCCACAGTGGGATTCAAACCTGCGACATAAGGATCAACTCCTTACTTCGCGACTCTAGAGCAGACGCTCTAACCATGGCGCCACGCTTGTGACTAGCTCAGTTTTAAAGAAATCATTCAAGATATTCTTTATCAAACTTAATATGCTGATACATATATAATTAGTCAGACCTATTCAACTATTTCAAAAACTTTTGACCTTTCCTGTGACCTTGACCTCACTTTCCTTCAATTTGCATTTTGCATGGTTTTAAAACCATTTAAAATATTGAATATCTAAGGCTATGCATCTATACATAATTTGGTGAGAATTTATCATTTATATCCATTTTTTTTAGATCTCAATTTCAATTTTAAAGAAACTTTTCAAGATATTCTCATCAAACTTCATACACTAACACAAAATTTCATGTTGCATTACTATACACTCGGCGGGCATACATGTCCTATGGACATATTTCTAGTGTATTGCTATTTCTGTTGTTTGTTTACTTCCGGTCAGTAAGTGCCCCCTAGGGGCAAGCCCCAGTCCTGTTTTCTTTTCCAGGGTTGCAACAGCGCCCCCTAGAAAAACAAGTTGCACCATCCAATTAAATCGTATTTTGTGCTGCTTATGCCAATGAAATTAAGGCTGGACAGCATATGTATTATATTCTGACCAATGGGGTTGCCGTATTTTCAAATAATTAGGATAGACTTACCACTTCAGCATTCCTTTCATCACTGCAGTGATATACATGGTCAAAAATTGACTAACTTTCATTTTTGTGTCAACTGCAGAGCAGAACGACACTTAGAGATCACTTTACCTGGTGTCTGTCTGTCCGTCTGTCACACCTTATATCTCCAAAATTTTGAGAGGCAGGGTTTTGATAATTAGCATTTATATATGTTTTTGAGCTCATGATACTATACTTTGAAACTGTATGAAATTCAGTTACCACACAAACTTATATTTAAATACTATGAAAATACATTGGGATCAGTATTCCACAATGAATCGTGTTGACTGACAAAGTGACAATTAAAGTAAAGACAGTCTGAAATTCCTTTCCTCCGAGGATTGTTGGAAGCACCTACATGTGTATTAATAAAATGATAAATAGTTATTCCTCATAATTTTAATTAAATTATTCATTTGAGGACTGGGGAACCATATTTTCTCTGATTGCCAGATTCTATCCCAGTCTTTGAAATACTTTTGGGTCCTTTTTTTCCTTGCAGGCAAATGCTTGAACCTCCATGCTAATATTAAATTAATAGCTGACCATTCTTAGATTTATTTACCTCTTTAATGACGATACCTAGCAGGTGACATATACATTCCTTGAAACACTCTAGTTCCTATTTGATTTTCACTAATATAAAGATTATTGAAAAAAGACTAAGGTGCTCTATAGTGATCAGTCTATTCATTCATCTGTCTGTCAAATACACATATCCCTTATGCTTGTTCAGAATACAGGTGACTCTAAATACTTCAAACTTTATATTTTTTAATTAGATACATGTAGCTGCTTTGGAACATCTGAAAGGTCTATTACATTATCACTAGTTTTACTAGTTTTCTTCATGTAAGTTGAATATATTTTAAACTTTTAATTTTTTATTTTTTCCAGGTAAGAAAGAAATTCAGGAGTTCTTAAATTGCCCTTGGAGTTCTTGGATTGCATCAAACTGCTAAAAGACCTCAACAAAAACAGCGTCTTGAAAATAAAAATGAAAATATTCAGTGAAAAAAAAAATGATGAAAGAGCCACTAAAAATCTTCAAGCCTTTGAGCTGAAATCTGGAAGTCAATCTGTGGACTTTACTAGTAAGTCATAATTACTAAGTCATCATTTGTGTATAATAAATACACTAAACTGTAAACACTTGTTAAAATGTGTATAATTTTTAGATATAATTTGTATCTCATAGACTTCAATAGTTTCATGTAATTTAAGTAATAATGAAAATTTCCTGTTGTCTAGCTAGATTAGAAACTATTATTGTCCAATTTTGGATATTGTGAAATAATTCATCTAGTATGCATACATGTGTGTACACTTACGTGTAAATTAATTGTTATAGCAAATTCAATTGATCATTAAATTGAATGTTGACTAATGTTTTTCATCAAAATTGTTTACACTGAATTGTTTGTGGATTTTTCCATTTGCCCAATCATGTCAAGGAGCACATGGCAGGAAATGCTTTCTCCTCCATTGCACCTGGTGTTTTTAGAGTCTGTTTGCTCTGCTCTAATTATGTATTGTTTCAATGGACTTTAAAGCTTGATCACTGTTGGTAATCTTCATATTTCATATACTATTAGAGTACTTGAAGAAAACTGTAAAGATTTAACATACAGTATAATGCATGTATATTGCACTTTAAGTACAGTGTATGTGGTTAAGAAATGTTAAATCGTCTCATAGTGCATTGAATTTGTTGAAAATTAGAAAATGTGTTGAAATTTTTTTTGAAATAATGTTAGATTGCAGATTTTTTTAAATCATGCAAGTAAGAAATTGCTAAATATTTTTTAGATTTTCTGGACAGTCTAGATGAGTTCTCACTATATACCTAGCATTGTCATCCCAGTTAAAATTTAAGGAGCAAGGTTCATTCCTAAGCTCTACCTGGACAAACTTGCATGGATTAAAGCACATTAACAGATTTACTTCAGATGCTTGACCTGATCTACATTTTCCTCATGTGTTTTTTTTGTTTTTGTTTGTTTGTTGTTTAACATCCCTCTCAAGAATTTTTCATCCATATGGAGATGCCACTACTTGCTGGTGGAGAGCTGCAAAATTTGACCTATACTTTGCACTCAGGGCCTTGAGCAGTAAGGGATCTTTTTTGTGCCCACATCAACTGCTAGGCGGGACCTCGGTTTATATGGTCTAATCTGAAGGACTGGTCCCCACATCCCCAGTGGATTTGAACCTGAGACTTAAGGATTAAATCCTTACTCGCGACTCTAGATTACAAACTCTTATCCTTTGCGCCACATGGGGGACTCCACAAGATTAAGTGTTTTGAGCAGTCCTATTCTCATGTAATTATAAACTCTATGTTGAACAAACCTGCAAAGATGATGTATGTACATGTAAATGTTTCAGGGTACCAATCCTTGAGTTGACTTAGATATTCTGGATTAATGACCAGTTTTTTAGAGAAGATTCATTCAAAGTAACAATATACTCTTTGGTGATCAGTAAACATAGATGATGTATCCTGCTTCTGATGCTGGATGTAACATACATTTTCAGGGTTATTGAGCAGTTAAATCTAACCCAGACCAACTTGCATAGATTTTGGATCCAGGTGATATACATTACCAGCGTGTTTGTTAAGTGAGACTTTGCCTTACTAGTAGATAACATTTATAGAAGTGAGCTTTGTATTCTTTGATTAGGTATGTTTTTTCTTTGCTCAGGATATATACAGACCTGCCTACCCTTCCGCTTTTGGCGTAATTTTTCCGCTTTTTACCACAAAATTACGCTGTTACGCCATGAAAACTAATTTTACGCTTTTTAAATATTTTTTCATAAACAACTTAATGAAAGGCTAACTTTGGAGTTAAAGTAAAGGCTTTCCTTAATGAAAACGAGAAGGTAATTAATACTAATTAATGGAGGGTTTCGGTTCTTCACGATATGATTATTTATGATACAAACAACATACGTAATACACGTTGTAGTTATGCCTTTTAAACGGGTTGCATGCCAAAATTAAGGAAACAAAACTTTTGAATGATGTGTGCAATAAGTAAAGTCAGTTTAATTTTCAATTCGGTTTATTCTTACATTGCTAAGAACAACATAGAGACAAGTAAATGTAAGAAAAACAAAATCGAAATAGCGGAATAATGTAGAATTTGTATTAATATGCGATTGAAACTCTGAATTATGTGATTTGCTAATTTTTTTCCAAACATTCATTAGGAATGTTAGATAAATAAGTTTGATTTGACTGCAATTACGATACCAGTTTTTACAACAAAGGGACTTTTTGTCTATAAATGATTTGAAAAAGAAACATTCATGCTTGCTTTGTTCAATGATGTACAATTTCAGGTTGATTCAGACAATATAGTAGCTTTGCAAAACATCACAGTAGGGAAACATAAAGGATTACGCCTTTACCTCATAAATTCCACTTAATTGAGTCTTGAAATTACACCCTCGCAATGAAAAGGGTAGGCAGGTCTGTATATATATCATCAGTGCCAACTACCATACATATTATATAATAGATGTAGCTGTTGTTCAACTGAATATGATAAAACTGTGGATGAAAATAATTTGATTTTTGTACCTTTGAATGTATTGAATTAATTTGTAAAAGCTGTTATGATACAATGTTTGATATTTTATAAAAGGTTTTAGCATATGCAATCAATAAATGTATCAACATTTTTATTTTATTATACTTTTTACCCTGCAAACTTCTTAAAAACAGAATAGTAATGATCCATTTAATTGATACTAGGTTAGTGTCACATTGTACTGGTATATCATGTATACTGAACTGTAAATAAGAAACATCTAAACAGGTAAAATCACAGCATGAATCATTGGATTATGTAAGAAGTGCACTATCTTGTGCTTTGGTATGGTATTAATAATAAATGTTAAACTATCATTTTTTTTTTTCAAATTAACATAGGATATGCTTGAGTGACTGTATTTTGACTAGCAGTAAAAATAAAATGATTTTTAAGTATTTGAATTATTTTGATTCATGGTCTCTGCAAGTTTAATGATAGCAAATATGTACCGGGTATATTGAACATGGCATCCACATATTGCTATACTGGATGGGGCATAACTTTTACTGAATCTTAATCACAACCTTGAAATTTTATGTAGTACATGTACTCTTGGTTTCAACTGGTCAAATGTATTCTTAAATCAGAAAGAATTTAAACAAATATAGGCATAGGTCAGAACTTCATCAATTAGTTGGAAAGCGAATGCACTCGGTGACTATATGGTTTAAAAGAAGCTGGGTATAAATAGCAGGAAAAACTACTTGATGTCCACTGTGAACTTTGTGTCCTCAACAAAACAATATGGAGTATACTATACTTGGTGTAAAGAATAATCTGTGTCTGCATTCACTTTTAGGTTAAACTGTTTTGGGCATTGAGAGTTTGTTTGTTGTTTAACGTCCCTCTGGAGAATTTTTCACTCATATGGAGATGCCAACACTTGCCGATGGAGAGCTGCAAATGACCTATGCTCAGCACTCAGGGCCAATGGGCAGTGAGGGATTTTTTTCATGCCAGCATCTACTGCGACACTGGACCTCTGTTTGTACGAAGGACTGGTCTCTACGTCCCACAGTGGGATTCAAACATGTGACAAAAGGATCAACTAACTCCACGACTCTAGAGCATAGGCTCTTTCCACTGCACCATGTGGGCGACAGCATTGAGAGTTAAATGTGGATATCAGAACAAGCTACTCTGGGCTTATACTCTCTATATATTGATTGATTGTATGTTGTTTAACATTCTTCTCAAGATTTTTTCACTCATATGGAGACACCACCACATGCCAGTGGAGATCTGCAAATTTTGTGCTATACTCGGAACTTACGGCCATTGAGCATCGAGGGATTTTTTTTCGTGCCAGCACCTTCTGCGACACAGGACCTCGATTTATACGGTCTCATCTGAAGGACCGGTCTCCCCATCCCACAGTGGGATTTGAACCTGCGACGTAAGGATCAACTCCTTACTTCGCTCCTCTAGAGCAGACGCTCTAACCACTGCGCCACTGGGGCAACTACTCTCTATTTAAGTCACTTGTGCAATGACTTTAGTTTAATTCAAAGTTTTGTACTGATCATGTTGAGTCACATTAGCACAAATATCTTTCTGCTGACCTTGACTAATGACCATCCGCAACTATTCTGGTTGGAAACAATATGTTAATTAATGCATAATAAGTGAAATTACTATGAAAGAAAAATGGTCTACTTAAACCACAAGTTATATTTATAAAAAATATACACTGGTCTCCTTAAGTCATATGAGAGAAACATAAAACATTAAGGAGACCATTTTTTTCATATATTTTTAGAAGGCATTTATTATGAAAAAATAAAGCAAGAGTCGACTAAATGGTGTTCTATAGATCTTTGATCTGGTATTTCTTTTTAGAAAAAAGCAAATTTAAAAAATCTGTATATTGTCCCCTTAAGCCATATATAATGGTCTGGTCTCCCTAGTCCTTAAATCAGAGTTATATATATATATATATATATATATATATATATATATATATATATATATATATATATATATATATATATATATCAAAAAATTACATTGATTTAGCGTTCAATAACCCTTACTATTTTGACTTTGAAAAATAAGGTACTCATTACCTGTTCTTTCAACATTAAATTTCCCTCACTTTTTCAACGTTGACATAACACCAAACATTCAACGTTGAAAATATGCTGAATCTTCAACGTTGTTTCAACGTTGAAATATCGACGAATTTTCAACGTTGAAAATATGTTGCATCTTCAACGTTGTTTCAACATTGTTAAAAGGTTAAGGATTCAACGTTGAAAATATGTTGAATCTTCAACGTTGTTTCAACGTTGAAATATCGACGAACATGCAACGTTGAAAATATGTTGCATCTCCAACGTTGTTTCAACGTTGTAAGAAAGGTTGAGGATTCAACGTTGAAAACTCAACGTTGAAACAACGTTGAACTATAGTTGCTCAGCGTTGCAACTTATATTCCACCTACTTTCAACGTTGAATCAACGTTGCTTGCTTGCTGGGTATTGTCCATTGCTACAAGATGGCCTATGAAGCTAGTCGAGAAAATATCCTCGTTTTACAGACAAAATTTCCATCGTTTTAAATATTGACGGTCCTCGAAATTGAAGCACTTTAATAAGAATTGAAATGGAAGTGAGATTGAAACCGACGCTGAACAATATTTTGGTGGAAATACTCCTTGTGGACTACAACACCACGTCGGTGACAGTATCCGTGCCTGATGTGGTTTTGA